TGCGTGTAAAACGATCCCTGGAATCATATTACCCCATATGTATTTTGGTCGTAGAAAGAAAATAGAAGATCTCCCGCCGTGCAACGTGATCGGCCCGGAGAGCAGTCAACGCTCCGTGTGCTGATTCGCAGCTGTTCTATTAATAGAGCGGTATCGGAACTTTTATAGCGGGATTTAGGGTTCGGTGCGTTTCGCTTTTTACGCGACGACAGCGCCGCCACATCACTCCCCCGTTCAGCCGGAGGTCGATGGTGCGGTGTGAATCTAGTTATCGACGAATATGCAAGTGCCACATTATTGCCTTGTAGTCTGCGGCGAGTCGAGAAGAAGGCAAGTAATCTGCGAGAGTGCAGTGAAGCGGAGTTGAGTACACTGTAGCGGAGAGTAGCTTGAAGGAACAGGAAGCATTATACCAGTGTTGCGAAGAATCTTATAAAGCTATATGGCTTTAGACGAAGAAATCGATAGAAAAGAAATGTCCCAGAATTGACGTCCTCTGCTCGAGCGCACAAGCTTTCAATAAACCTGTGGTTGATAATTTCTTCAATTTTGAAGGACCTACAGGAACACATTCCTTTTCACCACTTCGGATATTTAATGTTGATGAGACGAGTTTATGCACTGTCCCAACAAAAAACTGAAAAGTGTTTGCACAAACAAGCCATAAACAGGTGGCAAGTTACTTCAGTTGAGAGAGGTGAGGCAACAGCAGCAGTTATATGTACCTCAGCTCCTTGAAATTTAGTTCCTTCATTGTTCATCTTTCCTAGAGTCCGGATGAAAATGGAATTGATAGATGGTGCACCTGCAGGCTCCACTTTTGCGTGCGATACATCTTACTTACTTATCTTCACGCACAATCCCTAACGGGGTAGCCAGAGAGAACATCGCCAATCGCCAAGTGTCACGATCCTTACATACCTCTTTCGCTTCTTTCAGGTTCATTAACTTCTTCATACATGCACGTCTAGGTATCCGAGTACTCTTGATCTTCCCCTCTTCGAGCAATTTGCTCACATGGTCTTCGAAAGTTAGTCTCGGTCTACCTCGACACCTTTTAATATTTACTTTCGCTCTATATATTTTCTTCGCCATTCGGTCTTCACTCATTCGCTCAACGTGCCCAAACCATTGGAGTACGCCCCTATAAATTTTTGTGATAAGGTCATCTTTCAATCCTGCCATATTGCGAATCTCTTCGTTTCGCTTTCGATCGGCTATGGTAACGCCACACATTTTACGAAGAGATCGCATCTCCACTGCATTCAACTTGCTTTTATGCTTCTTCTGGCATACCCAGGTTTCGCTGCCATATAACAAAGTCGGTACCAACACTGCGTTATGTAGTGCAAGGCGTGTACTCTTCACTACGCCTTGCCTTTTGACTAATGCATTCAGGGCACCATTGACTTTGTTTCCGGCAGCGACACGCCTATCCACATCTAAATCACATCTTCCATCCCGGCTGAAAGCACTCCCCAAGTATACAATTTCATTTACCTGTTCTAGACATTCCTGATTTACCCATATTTCACATTTCGTTCTCTCTTCGTCCTTTTCAAATACCAGAACCTTAGTTTTATTAGCATTCAAACGGTGCGATACATCTGACTGGATGAATTTAGATGTGTTTTCTCAGTTACGCCAAACCGTCAACAGAAGATCCGGTTTGGATCCTCTTTTGGTTTTGGACGGTCACTTGTCGCACACAAAAGATTTGAATGTGATATTAAAAGTCAGAATCATGTCACTATTTTATGCCTACCACATCATTGCACCCACAAACTCCAACCGCTGGACGTTGGGGTCATGTATCCGCTAAGTATTTATCATAATTTTTTCTACGATATAAATATAAATTTCTAATTTCTGAGATGTCACGGTCACGTGCTCCGCCAATAGAAACCGTGCAAATATCTCCTTCTCCAGCGTGTATTCCAGAATTTGTATCAGAAGCAGAACAATATCGCCTATCCAGGAATATTTTAATTTAACAGCTCAGCTATCACCATTCAGCTAAAACACTTCAACCTTCGACGCAAGAGGTTATTCAGAAATCTCCACAAGTGCCACAGTCGTCGGCACTAGTACTTTTACAAGAATCTCTACCTGCTACGCCTTAGCCTTTACCAGAAAATTCAATGGATATTGACAAGACAATTGTAGTTCCGTAAGATTTTCTTAATGACAGGCAATCGTCCTATTCAAAAAAGCCAGTTAGTTCGTAGTCCTCTATCTCTATATATTTCAATTTTCAATTGACTTTGACTAAAACACTAGAATCTAATGCTAACGTGTCTCCAGAATAGTTGTTGACCTTCCATCCACGTCTTTTACGGTCTTAACACCGGAGCAAATCCAACCATTGCCAAAAATAGTAATGTGAGGCGAGTAAGAGTAGGGATGCCTGTACTGACCAGTACACCTTACAAAAACAACCTAGGGGAGGAGCCGAAGAAAAAAACAGATAAAGAACAAAAAAGGCAACAGTTATAAAACATTCTTCTAAACCTCTTCATAACAGTAAATCGCAGTAAAGTTGTTCTCTTAGACGGATCATGTTGCACGCATATCCCCTAAGTAGCCGATAATTGAACCGTGCGAACTTTACACGTTTTAATATTAATCGGTTATTTAAGTTCCGTGTATCGCACATTATTTTTTAGTATAAGTGACTTAAATCCACTTTTTTAATTGAAAAATTGTAGAATACTAAATGATTATAAAGACAAAAATCGTTTAAAGATTGACCAAAGGTGCAACAAGACTCGATTTACAGAATTTTTGTATGATCCAGATGTTAGCTTATACATATGTAAATGAGTTATCAAACCTGACTTCACAACGGTCTTATTTTTTAGCAATTGCAATGTGACGGTAAATGGTAGTAATAGTAATTGTTTTTAATAATTGTACTTTAAAAAATACAGTTCAAGCTAATAGACGGAGAGGCAGCGCCAAAAAGGTCTCTGAATTTATTAAGCCTGGTTTTTCTCAGGTTATTTATAATCATAATTTACAATAAAATGCTGCAGTCAGTCAAGCAGGTAATTAGAACAGGTGTCTCAGGTGCGCGGTCAAACATGTCGTGACCACCAACATAATAAAATCAATTTCTTAAGGCTGAAACTTTATGAACTTTTGTTTTTTTATATGTAAATCAAAATTATTACATGGATTCTCTTTTTTACAGTTGATGAAAGATGTTCCCGTGACCTTCACAAATATTTCAAAGAAATTTTTACAAAGTATTTTAAAATTTGATGCACAAGAGATTGTTATAGTTTTTGATCGATATTTCACGTCATCAATAAAAGATTGCGAGCATTGCGAGAAAACTGAAAATCGCTATTATAATATCTCTAGGCCGGAACAAAAACGCAGCACAGATTTTTCAAAAGAATTGCGTAATTCGAAATTTAAAATAAAATAACATTAAAATTCATCATTAATCACTGAGCTAGTGATGAATTAGTACCATATTTTGGCGTTAAAACTGTCAAATTAAACTTTTATAAATGCTACGAATACGCTGTTTTAGATGGCAAAATACATAAAAATATTAATGAAAATTTAACCTGTAAAGCACATGAAGAGGCTGATACGAAAATAATTTTCCATGTTCGTAAAATAGTACAAAATACATTTTAATTAGGTGCTCGGACACAGACATTCTCGTTATTATGTTAGGAAACATGGATAATTTGTCAAGTTCGTCGATAATTGGGATAGAACTTGGGACTGGAAATCATCAAAGGATGATTAATGTCAGTAAAATGCATGACAAATTGGGAAATTCTGTTTGCAATGCTTAATCCGGCTTTTTACTAGAAATGTTAAAAAAGCCTCTGCAGTTGACGATGCAAAGCGAAGATTTTCAAAAAACCTTCGCTGACCTTGGAATTGCAGATGAAAGCAACCAAAATAATATTTTTAATAAGGTTTAAGATTTTGTTTGCCATTTATACGGCTTAAAGAAAATAAAATCAATCGACGAGGCAAGATTTGTTTCATTTTCGAAAACGTAATAAATGTTTTAATAAAAGCTTCTTTTAAAATTAAAATAAAGAATATAGATGGGTCGAGTATGCCACCATGCCAATCAGAATTGATGCAGAAGTTCTTAAGAGTGAGCTTCATTGCAAATATTTGGCGTAATGCTCACTGTCAAATTCCAACGGAGCTATCTCCTAATGACTACGGGTAGAAGTTAGTTACTGAGAAATATTAATTTGATTGGTTCAAAGGCGATCAATTACCAGAACTTGTACAGGATGTTATTATTCAACCTTTAGAAGAAAATATCGACGTCCCCCGCGAATAATCCGGTAATGACCTATTACGGGGTTTTTCATGTTATGCGTTTTTCAGTATCTAGAAGTTAAAATACACCATGTAAATTTTTTTCAGCATTTTTCTGTCTTTACTCACGAAGATATGAAAAACTACGCGTATATTCCATAAAAATTCATTAAAATGTATTTTAAACGAATAATATGGTTTTTGATCTTTACGAAAAAAAAAATATTAATGTGATTTGACAGTAAACATTGTTACGATATTATTCGGGTAAATAGTTTTCTACCTTATTTAAGTAAGTGCTAGGACAGGTTTATTCGGGGTTTTATTAAGAAAACAATTTCCAGCTACATTCATTATCGAGTGGCCCGTTACACAACTCTTTCCTATATTGATATTACGATATTATTCGTATAAGTTATAATATATCATCTAAACATAAATAGACTATTACCAATACACGTAAGGACATGTACCGTCTTCGGTTATGCCTAGCCGTTGCGGCTAGAGCTATTGCTCCGCCCACTTCGCTCGGTCGTCCTGTAATAATGTTTGTTTACCTAATATTAGTCACAATGAGTCCGAGTGAAAAGTACTGCAAGTAATTATTTGATTGTTAGGAAGTTAATTTGTGTCTTAAATACATTTGAACTAACCTATACTTCGTGAAGTGAATATTATATGACAATATTGTAATAATTATGTTGCTACGTCAGTTAAAATCATATAGTACATCCAGAAGAAAATTATTGTTCAACTTTGTTAAGGAACAAGCAGATCTTAGCAGAAAAGGTGAGTGTCTTTATATACTGTGATTACAGAAAAGGGTAATTAGATAGGTACTTCCTACCTACTTAATATTTTTTCCGGTATGCATGTTTATTAAATTGTTAGTTATGTTATGTATATTAAAGCATAACCTAAGTGTATAGCATAAAAAATGTAAAACCTAACTAGTGTAATAGTAGTAGGTAGGTACTCAAATTAATTATATAAATTTAGCTCGAACGAGTTTATTAATGTAGTTAAAATATTATAATTTACAATTATAATTTACTGAGATAGGAAAATGCATTGAATTCAAGAAGAAAAATATACAGATAATAGCTACGAACATGTGTTCCTTTAATCTAATTAAATTGTAATCATTTCAGATTCTATTCAATCAGGCTCAGAATCATTTACTGCTGATGCTAAACCAAAAGTGTACAAGTTGAGAGGTATGTTCCCTAAAATTTATTGTTGTTTTCATCATTAAGTACCTATTTAATCGCTTAAGTATTACCTGCTTAAATATTGTAAGATTTATTTTAAAACAAGGCTGCTTATTGTTGTAGAACCATCAAATATAATATATTTTGACGACGAGAACGACACAGAGGATTTCTCTCCTGATTGTACTGAATACATTGAAAGTCCAGAGCGTCAATTACCTGACAGTCGAAATACTTCGAGCCTCGTTACTGATTCGCAAGATACGGATATTATTGAAATTTCCTCTAGTAACACACATTTGCAAGAAAATGATACTTCTAGTCTCGGAGATGATTCGCTAGTTATAGATAATTTGCTCCGTACTGAAAACATCACGCGATCTCCATCTACGGTTTCGAATTTATCTCTAATGCGTGGGTGAAACTTCTTTCGTGGCGTCTCCTATTGTCATTTATAAAACGAACTTTGTTAATTCTCCGAAAAAGCAAGATAATACACCTTTTAAACTTCTAGATATTACACTTACGCCAGTGAATGAACACAGACAATTACCTATACATAACCTTACTGAGATAACCCTTCAGTCAACAAGTGACGACCCAGAAAAAACACTAACACCAGCTAAACCTAACAGCTCTGATTGTAATGTAACTAACTCAGAATTAATGCAGTAAGAATAAGAAACCACAGAAAGTTCCGATGAAAAAACGAACTACGTTTTGCAGAAATTCAAAATCGAAATAACAATTAACCGGAATCTGCCGACACTGACAGCATTACTGTTGATAAAGCTATAAAGATAAACAACGATTCATCATCAACATCATAAACAACATCTATCAGATGAAGAGCAAAATGAAGGACCTAATGCAGAAAATAGTTTGATAAATGACTGTGAAATAGACACAAGTTTGCGAAGTGTTATAAGCTATAATGAAGAGAAAAACAACAAAAAAATCCAAAGACCATTAAGTAATTGTGCCTGTAAAAAAGGTTGCGGGTTAAAATTCAATACAGAAGACAGGTTAGCCCTACATACTAATTTTTATAAACTTGCCAATCGAGAATTTCAATGGCAATACATTACACGACATGTTAAATCCAATGATGTTAAAAGGGTAACCGTAAATAGAAAAAGTAACCGATCTCAAACATTAAAATATTATTTTCCCCTCAAAGATGAAGAAATCCAAGTATGCAAGGTATTTTTTAAACACTTTTTCTATTACTGAGCAAATGATTTACATGGCCTTAGAAAAAATTAAAAGAGATGAAAGTTTGATCGATAAACGAGGCAGGCATCAGAATAGACCACATCAAATGAAGCTGGATACAGAAGACAGTATCAGAAATCATATTGATTTATTTCCCAAAGTAGAATCGCATTACACGAGAAAAGAGTCTAAACGAGAATATTTGTCTGAATCTCTTAATATTTCAAAAATGTACCGACTTTACAAGTCATGGTTTGCAAATCAGAACTATCCAGATATTGTTGAGATGGCTTCAAAACGACAGTATGAAAGAGTGTTTAATACTAACTGCAACTATTCCTTTTTTAAGCCTAAAAAGGATCAGTGTACTTTATGTTCACAATATCAGCAAGCTGACTCCGTTGAAAAGGCGTCTTTAGAAGAAAATTACAGGAAACATTTGAGTATGAAAGAAAGAGTTCGTGAAATCAAAAAAGAATAAAAAGAAACACTAAATAAAGATGACACCGTTGTGCCATTTTTAATTTAGAAAAAGTTTTGAATGTACCACAGTCTGATGTTTCAATTTTCCACTACAAACGTAAATACCCGATTTATAATTTTACAGTTTTTGACGCTCTAAACAAACTAGGGTTCTGTTACGTTTGGCAAGCTCAAACCTGAAAAAATGGGTGCATCGAAATAGGGAGTTGCTTGTTTCAATTTGTCAAGACCGTACACGAAAAAGGTATACGCAAAATTATATTTTACTCTGATGGTTGTTATGGCCAGAATAAAAACAGATACATTTTTGCATTGTATCTTTACATTGCAATGACTCTTCAAATTGACATTACCCATCGGTTTTTTGTTGGTGGGCATAGCCAAAATGAAGGCGACTCCATGCACGCATGTATTGAAAAACAAAGTTTTGTACACACCGGACCAAGTATATAGTATCATCATGAACGCTAAAGTCCCCGGAGACAAATACATCCTAAAAGAAATGCAACAACCTGAAATCCTCAACATAAAAGAACTTGTTGAACCCAAAAGATGGCTTCAAGATAAGACAGGAGAAAAAGTACGATGGTCCGATGTGACGGAGGTTAGTGTGTCATACAGTACACCTAACTGTTTTCTTTTCAAATATGTTTATGATCAGGATTATATTGAATTGGATTACGATGCAGGCAGAAGTAGACAGCGTCGGCAGCAACAGGGTCCAAAACAACTGAAAGTATTGAATTAAAGCCAGCATACGACAAGCCCCTCCCTATTAAAAAAGCTTTGTATAATGATCTTCTAACCTACTTTTTTCCTAAACCTTTTAACTCCCAAGCAATTCCCCGCCATTATCAACTATTTTATAGGAACTTAAGCTTTTGTGATACTGAATCAGATCACGATGAGGATTCTGATTAAGATTTTTAACTGGACCTTTTTATAATTTTCATGATTGTGTAATCATGTGTAATAGTCGTGTCTTCAGTGCAGTGTCTATTTTTTATGATAATAATAACTATCGTGTTTTGTCAAACTAACCAAAGTTGTTTTATTTACTAGAATGTCCTTTATTTCATAAAATATACAATAATAATCATCAAATAATACTTAAGTAAACTATTCGAATAAACACTAATAGTCATAACAATAAAATGTACGTTAGTGTTAAACAATTGAATAACCCAATAATAGCTTTTTTACAAATGTTCAGTATACAAAACAAATTACACGAATAGCGCAACAAGATTTTACTGTTGCCGGCGAAAATATAAATTTACACGAACAATATCGTAAGTGACATTACTGACCAGAGCTTGACCTACAATAATATAATAAAATGCCTCCAGCTAAATTATAATGAAGCCCTTGGGACTACTTAAATTTTGTTGAAATAACCAGATAGCTGAAAAAATTAGCTTCCATATGCGATATAAAAAGTCTCCGATACTTGTTTTTTAATGGAGTTATTAAGAAAAAATGTTTTTTTTTTATTTTTCCTGAACATTTACACTTTTGCAATTACCGGATTATTCGCGGGGAGCGTCGATATAGGTATACAAATAAAAAAATATCTAAATTAAACAATCACAAAAATATTTTTTAATGAATTTATTTATTTGTTAGATTCTCAGTCTGAAACATCTGAGCTTGACGTGTCAGATCACGATAGTGAGATTAATGAGATTGAAAATTCAGATGAAGAATTATTTGATGATAATTTATAAATAGTTACAATTTTGTATCCTTTATGAAATAAATAAAATATGAGATAAAAATGTTTAAAATTAAATCAATGAGTTCTTAGTGTATATACCTGCGCTTGTTAAGACACTGTTGTATTCGAAAGAATTTTAGAAGTGCCTTATTAAAATAAATGTCGTAGTTTAAATGATTATGATGTTATTTTAAAAAAATAAATTAAAAAAAACGAATTGCCGGGAAATTTCACGCTTAATAAACGAATTGCACCCTTATAAACCTCGCCACGTACATTACAGCTGACTGACCAGCTGTGTCCCCATAGGACGTTGACTGACTATCATAATTTTGATTTACATATAAAAAACCAAAAGTTCATAAAGTTTCAGCCTTAAGAAATTGATTTTATTATGTCGATGGTCACGACATGTTTGACCGCGGACCTGAGACAACTGTTCTAATATCCGCTTCACTGACCGCAGCATTTCATGTAAATTATGATTATAATCACCTGAGAAAAAACCAGGCTTAATAAATTCAGAGACTTTTTTTGGCTCTGCCTTTTGGACTATAAAAATGTACAAGAGATTTTAAATGACTTTATGCAAATCATTTTTTATATTTCTTGATCAAATGATTTAACGTTTTGTTTATAATTTAAAGTATTCTAAAAGATGTTACTAATTAAAGTTCTATTGGTCTGTATTTATTATTTTGTTTCAATAAATGTTTAAATTTTTTAAAAATTATGAAATGCCATAAATTCTATGTATGACTTAAGCAAAACATACCCTACAATAATCAGCTAGTTAAGTCCCGCATGAGAGTGACTTCAACGTGGTTTTATTTCACTGTGTACTATAAAATATTATTAAAGTTACCTACAGTACACAATCATGTACATTATCTAATCTGGTTAAAAAGTTATATGATCAAAGAATATCACAATATTTTCTAAAGTCATATTTTATCACATACAACCTATTTTTTCCTTACATTTTTGAAATTGGTTAAAAGGACCTAAACATTAACCACAAAAAGCTTTGAATTAAAATCAAAAAAGTTTTAAATAAAACAAAAAGTCTTACATAATAAAAGGGCCTATTATTGTATTTATTCAAACTATCAAAATCTCAAATAGGTATTTAAAGTAATTTCTAAACAGACCCCCTTAAAATATGGACATTTCAGAAATTTGCGCTTAAAAACTGGTTCTATTATAAACGCTAGAGAAACTCTGGCTAAAAATTTCTTCAATTCTACTTCTCAGAACTTTTAACTTATGTCTATAATAAATAACAGTGAACAGTGTTACAAATATTAGTTTACATGCTTTTTGTGAATTGTAATGGTCAGACTCATTAATGATTTAATTTAAATATTATAGCAGATTCCTTATATATTTAATTTCAATAAATATAACACATAAAATAACATTTGCAACATTACAAACACTTCATCAACTTAAAAAATAATTAAAATATCTCTACATAGTATAAAAAAAGTCACTTCCTGCCATCTGTATGCTTAGATCTTTTAAACTATGCAACGGATTTTGATGCGGTTTTAATCAATAGACAGAATGATTCAAGAGGAAGGTTTATATGCATAATACATGCATATGTTGTCAAGATTCAAAAATCAACTGTGCGTAGGCAAGGCGGGTCGCTAGTTTTGTTTTTTTTAAAAGAAGCGGTTTCTGTTGATGGATACTCTACTTTCCCCACACTTATTTGAAAGGGAATGGCAACAAAACCACAAGATATTCATTTGGAAGAGAAACTAGCTAAATGTGTTGCTAATAACAAGTGTGATGTTATACAATATCATTGTCAAAGTGTTAAAGATCCAGATTCACAAATACAAAGAATTATAAGAAGATAAACAACTGAATAAATGAAGTGTTGTATGGTGATATGTATAATATATAAGACAGAAATCAAACAATAACGAGTGGGGTGGGTTGGATTACATACTTGATTACAGTTTAAACTAAACAACAGTATAAAGATCCTAAGCTCATGGCGCGAGTACGACAGATTAGACAGTATAAAATTAGTTCCTATAACAAATCTTATTTGGTATATTTTGAAATGTTCTCTTAAATCTACTTAAATATTTTATTAAATAACTATATCACGCAAATAATTTAATCAAAAGCAACACAAATATGATATACATAATACTATTGCTACTGGATTAAGTTGACAAGTAAATTTTTCTGTCACTGGTATTACAGCCTAATAACCTAGTGCTTTGATAATTACAAACATACTTGGTCAACTTTCTCCAAGCAGCACTGTTTAATGGTTACATAATACATATATAATTCATCCATCTATATGATGATATATTCAGTAAGATAAAACACAATAAATACTGGCCTATACATAAAAATTACCCTTTGCATACACACTTGTGTACATTTAATACATATAAGGCTATACTATGATTAATTATAATCTGTACAAATAAATTATAAGAAAAGTCCTGGGCAATTAAAACAAGAGGAATACATACTACTAAAAAGAGCTTAAATTATGAGATCAAATACGAACTTAACATGTTACCTGCAGCAATAGGTCGAATCCACCCAATACTAGACTATCCCATGGTGCAGCACGAAAAAACTACATCCAACCATTGGTGTGGGATAGATATCTCTTGAATTTCATCGAGTAAAAAAGAGACAAATATAGTTTTTTTCTTACATCTTTAAATATTTGACGAAGATATGAAAAAAATACATCGGACCTATTCAACCCTATAATGACTAGGAATAAAAAAATGCTGGGTGTGGTTATCGGGTCTTTCAGACCTGATGACCCGATGACCCAATTTGACAAAAGCAACACCAGATTTCATATTAGTCACACTAGTGTTATGCATAAGTTAGCAACATCTAAGTCATTCCCGTCATATTGTAATTGTTACAAGTGGTAACAAGTTTTGTCAAGATAAAGAGGTCAAGATGCAGAAAAATGCTTTTGATGTGTGAAGGTGGAGTTAAAAGGAATAATAAAATTCGGAATGTAACTGTAAGTCCTGGAATATTTACTAGTCCAACTACTGGTCACTCTATACAAATTTTTCAAAATGCAGTATTATCAAACATCTCATCTTCGTCTAGCAAACGGGTAGAAATATTGCAAAATATTCTTATACCAGGGTGCAGTGTTTTAGAACAATAAAAGACAATACTTAACTTCTCATCTCCATCTTACGAATGCACAGAAATTGTTAGATAAGGCAGCAATGACCTACAAGAAAATCCAACACTTAATAATGGTGAACCTCATATTTTCTCTACACCCAGGCAAAAAACACCCTATTTGAATGTAAATTGGGAAACATAAATAGAAGAAGCATCTTCTGTGAGGAGCAGATGTGGATCTATATCTATATGTGAATATTTTAACATCTTATATGGTGTCACTTAATTGAAGATTAGTTTTATCTTTGTTATCGACGCCTCAGCAGAAAAAAAATTGCCTCATTACAAGAAACATACACCCATTTCAAGCAGATGACAACTGCTTGACTGAAGAAACTCAACAAATAACAGGCATATCTTAGTTACCACATGTCAATGATTCTGATACTGATTACGCCCCTTCCACTAAAAAACATCAACAAGTATGATTACAATCACAAAATTAGATGATGATTCCGATATACATTATGCAACTACCAATGAACAATCCCGTTAGAGGATAGGATTATCACCTAGATTTTGATGATTCTGACACAGATTACACCCCAAACAATGAATCACACTCATCGTCTGCAGTCTTCTTCTTCTTTCTTTTGTGGCGGTTTGATAAAATTCGCCAATGACGCGTTGAGTGGAAAATGAAAGCTTATGAGTTTAATTAAAATAAAAGTCTGTGATAATACAAGGATTCAGTTTTCCTCCGAGAATTTTGACAAATCTATTTGTTGAATTACCTAGAACAAATATGACAAACACAGGTGTTAGACTCTTATCAGTATGTTAAAAGTGACAATGATTTAAAGTTTCATATTATTAGTATTAATAAATTCACATAAAATATACACAAAAGGAGTACTGGTATATGTTATAAGAGAATTAAAATCTATAGGTCGAGGAATATAATGAGGAAGGTAATCATAAAGGGACGAGGATAATTTGGAACAGTTGAAAAAAATATGGTTTGTGGAACATTCATCTAAGCCACATTCACACAATGAGCTATCCCTTACTCTGATTTTTGCCAGATGTACATGTGTACAAGTATGTCCAATTCTTAATCTACAAATGATTGAAGTTGCATGTTTATTTGCTTTGTTAAATTTAAAGAACCAAGGCTTGGGAGGAATAACCTCTTGGATGGCAGCATAGTGCTTACCCTTAACATTTTTGGAAACTTCCCACAATTTATTCCAATTTTCATTCAGTTACCTTTTAGCTAGCAAAATTAGTTCATGTGAGTAAATTAAATTTTGTAGAATGCCATTAGCAATTGCATTTTTAGCAAGTACATCAGCTGTTTCGTTACCATGGATACCACTGTGGCCTGGGATCCAAGCCACTGAAACATGGATTCCTTTAAGATGGCATCTGAATAGGGTATTTTTTATTTTAAGAATTAGTGAAAATTTATGTTTGTTATGGAATTGATTGGATTATCATGTCAGCATATTACAGAAAGGTAACAATCGAAGCTATGGTATGGATAAATCTACAGATTCACAAGAAATGCATCAATTTTTAGGTTTTTTGCTGGTAATAGTTCTTGTTAAAATTCCAAATCTTATAGTTGTTGACAACTTCTACACACCCTTCATTTGCGGTATTGCGCACTAATAGAAAAGTGTTACCTATATCCGTATTAAGAATGAAGCTAAAGATGGGTCAAATTGTGGGTAAAATTATTAATAAAGGCATAAAAGTTATAAAGTGGTTTTATAAACAACCTGTTTTAATGCTAAGTACATGTAAAAATCATGATGCATCTATCAAGAATACTGGGAAAAAGCGTAGAGGTACAAATGAGGACATTAT